TTTAAACATAAGTTATTCGGTATGAAGAGAAGAGGAATAAGCTGAGATTTAGTGAGAGACAGAAAGTGGTACAATTTGAGTAATGATAAGTTACAAAGAAAGTACTGTACAATGGTTAGAAGGATCACCATAAATTAATCTGGCTACAACCTTGTGATCATGCCTAATGAAATGCTGACAACTAGCTGGGAACAAACATTATCATTGCGACCTTACACTTTGTAGGTGCACAGTGCGTACCAAGGGAGGGAATGACTGGTCAGTTCGTCCAAACACACCTGACCCCTTTCGCCCCCTTCGAAGATGAAAACGGTATATGCACACATCGTAACCCGCGTTCTGCAATGCAGGAAGGGAAAAATATAGTATAAGCAACCTTTGTTTCGGACGTGTACTTCGGACGATCTACTTAGGAATCGAGAACTTCAGCAACAGCAGGACAAAGATTATTATCAGACTCACTAAATACACGCGACATGGCAACTTTGAGGCAACTCGCTTTGCAAGTCCCCAAGCTTTCCCTTAGAGTATAACTACGTCATTATTGGGGGACCTCATCTACAACCTCACAACACCATCGGACGCTTACGTTTTTTTTGTGGTCTGATGTCCCTGGAAAATCCGAGCTACCTTCGTTGCCCACAGTTAAGCGAAACGGAAACCCTCATATTCAAAAATATCCAAACCCATTCGCATTGATCGCGTGCCTAATGTCTACACCTACTTATTGATTACTTTTTTGAATCCAGGTCGTGCAGCCCTGTTGCAGTACCTGGAAATTGTGACCATTTTGCCCGTCCGATGTTTTGGGCCACAGTCGAACTCGCACCACATTGCCTTCTTGCCGAACGTTCTGACACCTCATGTTTCGGGTCCCCAATATAGATTCAGCTCTCTTGCTGCCTCGTTTGAATAGGAGCAGTAAACCATCACGCGTCTCCAGTCTTAATTTGACACGATTCCTTGTTCAATCAAGACCTCAACTGTCCACGAACCGGAGTACGGCGTTGCGGTGCGGGTGCCGCGACTGCCATACCCAGTCTGCCGGCTTGCTCGTAGTTTAGCATATCCCTAATATTTCTAGACGGACCAGATCCTATTACACTGTCCGCATGTTCTGCCCATAAACCCGCTATTTCTTTCAACGGCACTACAGAGAGATCAACCTACCGCTAAAGATAGAGCCCTGCCGTGCGCCCTGTGTAGCGCGTGGTGGCCCCCGTGAAAAAATGCAGAAAAACAAATTATTATCTGTGACAATATCATTGAACGTCTGCTGCAGCGATGGAAAGTTTCTCCTCCACAGCTCACGAGTAGCTATTCTATTTCGAGTTTGCGTGTAGTCAATTTTCATGTAATGTAAAGATAATTTCTAAATCCTATGCAGAAGGAAAGATGAGAAGAAGCCGCCTTTCCACCAAATTTCACGCTGCACTCACGGACACACCATGCGAAGCCGGTTGCAGCCAATAATATACTAACTGCACCCGTTATGGGTTTTCAGTACGTTTAAGCAACTTCCAGTAAAACTGCGACCGCATAAGAAGACCAAAAGGGTTTGAATAAGCACCAAGAGATACCAGAGCTTTATGTCGAAGTTCCACCCAAGTGATCTATGGTTTCAGAGGTTTTTCCGGCATCAAAGGCTTGGCTTCACGAGCGACCAATATAAAACCTTCGTTTCCATGTGCAGCCTTCAGCTTCCTTTATTCAAATACATGGATGTATCCGCTAAATCACCTTGAGCAAAGCCCTTCACTGACGCTGATTCATTCACGGATTCACGGATTGATACAGAGGATCGAGGCTTTCGCCCAATCTCAACGGGTCGCTTTTGTTCTTGTCGGTCAGTGGCTGTCGTTCACCTGAAAGGCACAAGTGAAAAAGAGGTGTAGCGCTGCTCCTCATGTTCTTAGCGCACAACAGTATGCCTGCCATCCCAAGTATTGGCATAAATAAATGTCTAATAGTGCTTTAAACTGGGTTCTAGAAAGAGCGTGGACAACCGTCCGAGGAAGGTCATTCCCAGCAGCTGCCACCTGAAATGGGGAAAATTTTGTCTAATGTATATGAGCGCTCTGAGCTTGGAAATCTCCTTACTATGTCCCCGCCGTGTGTTTGCTGGATCAACGGTAAAAAAGCTGTTTGCCAAGGTTTGTTCAAACAGGGCATAAGTGAGAATTAGGTTCCCTCCGAGGTGACGGTACTCTAGGGGAAAGAGGCATCGCGGACGTGTTTCGTAGTCCACGGATTTGAGGCCGGCAACAATTCTCATAGCGTATCGCTGGACACGCTCTATGAGGGTGAAATGGTTCGTGTGTCCTGAGTGGACAACTTGGTTGACTCATTCCAGGAGCGGTCTGACGTAGGTCTCATAGAGTATTTGAAAGTCCATGCGAGTGATACGGTAGAAGGTGCTTCGGATCATCCGTAGAATGGCCAATGCCTTTTGGGCCGATATCCCACGGTGCCGTGAGAAAGACAATTTTGATGAGACCCGGATGATCAAATCCTTTTGGGCATCTATCCTCATGATGTTTTCTGGTCCTTTCTCACCATGCATACCAAAGGTATTCGCTGAGTCTCTTCCAAACGACATATGGAGGCACTTTTCGTAATTCAGAGGAAGGTGCCAGTCCAACGACCACTGCTTGGCAGCGTCTACATCCATTTGGAGGGTACTGACATTGGTACTCCAGGATTTCAAGTCGTCCGCAGACAGTAGAAATGGACGTGCAAGAACATCTGGGAGGTCGTTGACGTAGATCACAAACGGCAATTGTCCCAGGGTGGAGCCCTTAGGAACTCCAATGGAGACCGGCGCTGGAGAAGAGTAGGTCGAGCCCTATTTTTAATCGGAATGATCTGTCAGATAGGAACGCCTTGATCCAGCGAAAGATTTTCCCTTGAATTCCGTAAGGCTCGAGTTTGTAGAGCAGCAGGGCGTGTGGGATTCTATCAAATGCTTTTGGGGAGTCAAAAAATATGGCATCCGATATGAGCAGTAGAAATGGACGTGCAAGAACATCTGGGAGGTCGTTGACGTAGATCACAAACGGCAATTGTCCCAGGGTGGAGCCCTTAGGAACTCCAATGGAGACCGGCGCTGGAGAAGAGTAGGTCGAGCCCTATTTTTAATCGGAATGATCTGTCAGATAGGAACGCCTTGATCCAGCGAAAGATTTTCCCTTGAATTCCGTAAGGCTCGAGTTTGTAGAGCAGCAGGGCGTGTGGGATTCTATCAAATGCTTTTGGGGAGTCAAAAAATATGGCATCCGATATGAGCCTTTCGTCCTTGGCTTGGGTCAAGCTGTCCATAAACACGAGCGTGTTTGTCATGCCAGAGCGGTGTGGGAGAAATCCGTGTGGAGCTCGAGATATGAGGTTGCTGCAAGTAAGGCGACCTAGGATAGCTCGATTCAGAATGCGTTCCCTCGCCTTGCACGGCACGCAAGTGAGGCTTATAGGCCTGCAGCTGCCAGGCGATAGTCGCTCACCAGTTCTGCCGATCTGCGTGATAATCGCTTATTTCCAAGCAGAGGGCAGGCGGCCTTTCCAAACGACTGACGAAACACCAGGTGTAAACGATTCGCCAGTGTGGGCGACGTTTCTTTCTGGATGCTTGTATGGACCCCGTCGGGCATCAACGCGCAGAATGGGCTGAGTTGTCGAATGTCCTCCACCGTGAGGACCAAGTCGATCGGAGGTTGTTCGTTGTTCTGCCTTGATAAGAGTGGACGTGACGAGGACGCTGGGGCTAAGTATAGGCAGGCATAGGGCTCTCTATAAACCTCAGATACCACTGTTGGGTCACTCGTGAGTTCTCCGTTCCAGTCCCCCAAATTGAACGCGGATGGCTAGTTTCTGCGACGATGTCTCACATACTTAAACAATGCGTTTTGTGTTTTTTTGAGCGAGGTCCAGGATGGTGGCTTGTTTTCGTATGTTCCATTGGCGGATTTCTGATTCACAGCGGTTCTGCATTTTGCGAAATGCCAGCCCATCTTCTGTATCCCCTGTAGTCATCTTTTTGAAGAGTTGAGATCTTTTTTCCAGAAGTCGCCTGCAGCCTGCGGTTCTTCCGACTGCGTGCTGGTTTCTTTGGAACGAACATCGCGTCAGCCTTGTGAACTTTCTGGACAATGGTCCTATATAGTTCTTCCACTGGAGCTGCTCCCAGTGTGACTTGTTCAAGAGGGATGTGCATTCCTGAGGAGTTTGCACGGCAGAAGTCTCGAAACCACTTTTGAGGTTCGGGATTCCTGGCCCAATAGCAGATGAAACCAAAGGTCAGTACACAGTGGTCGCCATGTCCCAATGGAGCGTTAAACGTTACCTGTTCAACTAAGTGTCTTTCGTTCGTGATGACCAAATCCAGGAGGGATGGTAGTTGGCCTGCGCGGTATCCAGTGGGTGCAGCGACATGTTGAGTCCAAGCGCTCTGTTGAACGAATTCAATCGGCGCCGCCGCAAAAAGTCCGCTTGATTCGACGCGCTGGAGCTCCATTCAGGAGGCCTTCGGAGCGTTGTAGTCACCTACCAGCAGCAGATGAGTTGTAATGTTTGGCCAACCACCACTTTGGCACAATCCGGTGTGGTGGTCTAGCTATCCGAAAATCTATTTACCAGGAGTAATAATTATAATAATAATATTTATTCCCAACTAATGGATAGCATACCGTCAGGCATGATCTTAATATTACACTCAGAACGAGAGCATGACTGGTTGGGATTGCGATCAACTGGAATTTCCTAGAAGAGGGACAGTGACATAAACGGTGGTCATTAACGAAGTAGACTTCATCACAAC